CCACAACGCCGAAACCGGTTTGTCTCCCAAACCAAATTTGACAAGGGATTTTAGATATTTTTCTTCTAACAAGAAGAATATTTTTTTAATTTCATTTAATTTTTAGGAACTTATTTTATTTCACCTTTTTATAATTTTTCTCATCTTCTGGTTTAAGTTTCTTTTAATTTTTAGATTTTATTGTTTAGAATGGTAAAATAATTTTGTAATTTTTAGAAACCAAATTTTAATTTAAGTTGCGTTTCTTTTTTAAATCAATTTGTGTTCTTTTTTAAAATTAATGTTCTTTAAATTTAAAGATTTTGTTTTAAAAATAGTAATATTTTTTTTTGAATTTTTTAATTTTTTTGATTTAATTTTTTTCTATTTCTAATTCAATTTTTAGATTCAATCAATTAAAAAAATATATAGTTTTCTAGCTTCATTTAATGTTTAAAAATGTTTTCATTTATTTTGGTTTTATTTTTATTTTTTTTAACTTTCTTTTTTATTTAATTTGCCTTTATTTATTACTTTTTATGGTTTTAAAATTAAAAATGTTTATATTTTTTTTAGCTTAATTTAATTTACAAAAAAAACTTATTAGACTTTTGTCTTTCGAAAGACTGTCGTAGGTTGAAAAACAGTTGCCCTGTTAGGATTACTTGCCTCGGCTCTTTTTTTGTCTTTTCAAAACTTGAGGGAAAACCCTACAGTGTTATTTGAATGCTCATTGTCCTTTATTGATTTTAATTCTCCTAATTATTTAAAAATACGAATAACTTGTAAAACAATGTAATATTTTTTGTCTGTCATCATAATCTGAGAATTTATTGCTTATAACTTTAGTCTAGAAAAAATCCACTGATTTTGTAACGAAATAAAAAAAATTGCACATGCTAAGTGCTGCCGTTGACTGCTACAATAGGGCAAAGGCAAAAAAAAAACATCTAAGCAGCTCTCTAGTAATAAACTAGTTTAAGGTAAAGCCATACACAAAATGCATCCGACCTAAAATTCAGTTGAAAGCACTTGGGTAGTACTCAAAGCACCATTGCCTTTAAGTATATTAGCAATTGATTTAAAATTGTCTCAACAACAAACATGCGAAACACAATGCAGTTGCACTGCCTGGCGATGTAACCAATAAACTATCACACCTGCATGCACCTAAGTACATATATACATACACACATACATATAGGTATATGCACACTAGTGTATGAGAAAGCAAATTTATGGCTCCTCTGTACATTGTGCCTATCGGTAACTTTTCCTTCCACCGCATCCGTGGCATGGAGAATATCAGCCATCGACCATGTTAAGCTCATTCATCAGCCTTAACAGCACGGAAATTGTAGAAACTGTTAATTTACCTGTACTCCCAGTTGATTCAGTGTACACATACTACTCTTCATTCTTGCATAAGCATACATATGTACATACTTGCGACCATACAAGTTTGTGTCAATTCACCTCATTCACTTATGCAAATGTACTACAGTAGCCTACCCACTATGTATGTATAGTTATATGGTTATAGATGCACTACATAAATAGTATTTGTAGTGGTCTCTTACATTTGGAACTTATTGGGAATGTTGATCCCGAAAAGGGTAGATAACCAGTGATTAAGCTGATTTTAACTTCATTTTGGCGAAGTGTTTGCTTGCCAGCAAAAGGATTATACAACAGCCTTACCTCTCCAAGGCACTCTATTGCTTTTCAGTACTCAAAGGAATGTGAGTTTACCAGCTTAGCGATAAACGCTCGGTCGATGATTAACGGAGTCCATAAAACCGTTTCGGTCGACAGCTCGTCTTTGCCCTTAATTTGGCAGTCGCCCTGAACTATGATGGTTCTCATATACGAAGAGCTAAAGCGATGTCAATATTTTATCTCGCACTCCGTGACAACCATCGCAGAGCTCTTAGGCATTGAAATTAGCTACATTTATAATTTCGTAATAAGCTTGCGATTGCTCAGTTTTCGTGGTTTTACTAGGGGTAGGGTCTCTTAACCACTAAAAGCTAACCTAACCAGGCAGTGGCTAAAGACGATTCTTTTGCAACCGAACACTAATCAAAGCCTTAAAACGAACAAGGCTATGTAAAATGACGTTGAGTATTATCACCACGTCCATCAGAATTGGAGAGAACCTATCTGAGCCGATTTGATACCAATCAACGGATTTTAAACAGATTGAGGGTAATAAGAACCGTAGAACTGAACCGCTTAGGAAAAATTTAAGCATGGCTGTTGCTACAGCTGCCAGCCTTTTTTGTCTATACTTTATCCATACTCCATCTTTTAATAATTTTTTATTTTAGATGCACACACTTTTGGCATGACTTAGATACAAGGATTTTGCTCCACGGGCTTATGATTTCTCCTCTAACGCTCCTGACCAGATTGACGGCCCATACAGTTTGATGCTTCTCACCACACTGTCTGTGTTCTTGTCTAGGCTCCTGGCATACAGCATTAATCTTGATAGTTATGGAGCTCTTATTTCAACCTTTCTGACAGCGATGCAAACGTCATAACTTTAAATGCGAGCCTATTATCGAATACAATGACTAACAATTTAATTCAGAGCCTCCAATGAATAAATTTCGTTACCAATGATGCTAATACTTATGTGTAATTTTTGGGTAGTTTCAATCACAGAACTCCGTCACACATATCCTTTAGAGGGTTGGCCTCTGAACGGACTACTGTGGTTCACTACTAAACATTTGTATATAATTTTTTGCAATGCTCCTCGGTCGGAAACATAGGTAGTAATTCAACGTCGATATGCAAAAATACCGGACACCACTCGGGGAGCAATGGCAGACTTCCGATTCTAGTTGCGCCATAAAAAAGCGGAATCATAAGCCTTTCCCTATCCGTAAAAATGACGGTAGACCATGGTTCGCTTCTCTCTGGATTCAGAATTTTCAAGTGACCGCATTCATTTTTCTTTTGTTGCAGCTGGCTTGATATCTACGGTAAAGGTCGGTGGGAAAAGGGCTCGAGTGACCAACAGTGGGTCTGTATTCTACCCAGTTTGCTCCGATAAGTGGAGATTTCTAGAGTCGGCCACCATCGCTTTCGATTGGACCTATTACCAAAATGGACGGAGTTCACACTTCATGTGTTTGCTTTGTTTGAAATTAAAAGGTTTGATGGACAAACATAAATAATAAATAAATATGAAATTTGAGCTTTATTAATACATTTTTAAAAACTTAACAGCACAAAAATTAAAATTTTTGTTTCTTGAAAAATTTTTCACATAAAAATTTTTTGATAAAAAAATAGTTTTTAAAAATATACCATCTCAAAAAAATCACAATGGCAGCTCTGAGTATGGCGCAATATTTAAGTGTAGTATTACGGGGTGCACTCTACAATAATTTGAGTTATGAATTTTTTTTTGAAACATTTTTAAATATTTTCTAGAATTTTTTTGAGGATGCAGTTTTATAGACCATTCAGTTTTAGTATGCAAGTGCAAGTTTTAAGTGATTGCAAACGGTTTTTCTTTGAAAACGGTTTTGCGCATTTTCTTCCATAAGAAAAAAGTGCAAAAACCTGTCGGCATAAAAAATATTAAAAATCAACGCAATTTTGCAGTAGCTTCAAACTTGGACTTTATTATATTAAAATTTAATGGGCTACAAAACAGCATACCCAAAAAAATGTGTGATGTACTCATTTAACTCAACTTCCGTGTGAAAAAAAAAATCATAACTTAAATTATTGTAGAGTGCACCCCGTAATACTATACCTAAATATTGCGCAATACTCAGAGCTACCATTGTGTTTTTTCAGTTTTTTTTTTGGGTTGACGTCTTTTCAAAAACTGTTTTTTTATCAAAAAATTTGTATGTGAAAAATTTTTCTAGAATAAAATATTATTAAACTCCTCCTTCCACAAAAATACCACCATAATATTAAATAAAAAACAATTAAGAAAGTCTAAGTTCGGGCGGAGCCGAACATTAAATACCCGGCGCAAGTATTAAATATATGTTTTTCACCTTTACTTTTACCAACTTTTGGAAATATACTGACTACCTGGTAAAAACCCAAAATTCAGATTTACTAAATATTATTACAGAAGTAAAATGAGTAAATTAACAAAACACGCGAACTGCACAACGCTAATTCTGATAACTTTGACTGCAAGGTTGCCTTTTTCAGAATTGCTTAAAATTTTATTCGCGTAGTTTTTAAGACAAAACCAATTAAAAAAAAAAACTCCCTATATTCGTTAAAAAAACGTTGGGTTTTTGGAAGAGTCTAATATACATACATCGATAAATTTTCATATTATTTTTTGATTTGTTATCGATACTAATATCGATAAAATTACACACATACATATGTATTACCACGGCAATCAACCACGGGTTTCTAATTGGTTACCAAAATCAGTGTTTCAAAAATTTAATGATAATTTTAACACCAATCCCGTTTGCTGAAAAAATTCTTGGTTTATTTCATCCTCACTGCCAGCTACATATGTATGTATTGTAATACTTACGTTCATGTTGCATACGCAAACATATAATCATGTGAAAAATAATAGTTTTGGCTACTTTTCTTTTTAATGTTAATTATAAAAATAAAGCTCATTATCTAAAAAAAAAAACATGTCCGAATTTAAAACTTTGTAGAAAAGTTAAATAAAATTTTACAACAATAAAAATTAAGATGTTTTAGAACAATTCTACGCAGTTTTAGCCCATTAAATTTTAGCTTAAGGGGCTACGAATTTGCGCTTATTTTTGAATTTTTTTTCGGATGGTGTTATAATATTTTTCCATATACATATATAAAAAAATAAAAGAAAAAAAATTCAACACAGTTTAAAATTTGGACTTGTATGGTTTTTGTTAGATAGTGAGCTGTATTTTTATAAAAAGCAATAAATATTCAACAATCAAAACAAAAATAGCCAAAACTTGTCAAAATGTCAGCTAGCAAGTATTATTTTTCACATCACTGTATTACCCAAGTGGCTGGCTTACCTGTAATATTTCATTGCATACGAATAGGCGCAGACGTGCCGACCAGTCCAGATACGTTTCCAAATTGCACGTTTTCTTCGGATCTTGCACACCGGGTGGACCGCCTGACGTGCTCGGTTGGTCCCATTTTTTCTGCATCGACCAAAAAATATAAAAGAAAGAAAGCATACAAGGAATTAAAGAGGGCAAGCAAACGTATGTATAAAAACGTGATTGCTTGTGTATATAGACAATCACATTACATACAATGCCAAAAGACAGACAGACTTAAGTGGCAGTACCGGAAAATACATTCGAAAAGAAGAATTGCAAATAAGTTTATTTTACACGCTCTCTGACTCTGATTCTCTGAATTTGATGCCGATGCCGCTGCCGATGCCGATGCCAATGCTGATACTGACTCCAACTTGAACTCCAACACTCGACGCACACGCACACGCACACGCACACACCGCACACACGTACAGGGGCACAAATAGACAGACACCATCAAGTTATACCGCACAGTAAACACCAAAAGTAGCCTTTCATTGCGAATTGGCGGTCTCTCGTTTCCGTCGTACTTGGGTGTTTCAAACTACATGCATGTACATATGTATGTATGTATGTACATATGTAGCTTACGAGTAACTAGTCCGGCGCGTTCGTATGTGAATTTAAATGAAGTGGCAACGAATCGTAATAAATTTGTAATTCTTTTAATTAAAAAGTGCATTGGGATACATCTTTGCATTCGAAAGGAGGCCGTCACTTTAATCAGATTACATGCGTAAAAAAAGGAAAATAAAAAAAGAGAAAAACACAAAATAAATGGAAAAATATAAATAAACTGCACATATAAAGTAAATACAAAGGCAGCAGGAAAGTCACTGCAATCAGGCACAAAATGCATCTCTGATTGCATACGAATTACGTAAGCAGTCTTAAATTTACCTTGCTGCTTTTAATTAAATTTTGCTTTCGGCAGTATTCACACACAGACACACAGGCACCAGTTGCTGGGCGGATAAAGACCTAAAAGAGTTATTAATTGCGTTTACTCTACAATTGTGTGTGTGTGTGTGTGTGTGTGCAATTGCACTACATACAATCGGCAACATAGTACATGTCTCCCACATTTGCACCTAGCAAAGAGTTTGCTTGTGGATAAAGCTCAGCTTATGTAATATTGGGTTAACTACAAAAAGTACACCATAGGTAGCGTCATATGATAGACATGGAGTTTCAGGTGTGCATACAAAACTTCGTATTCAAAAAGAAATCAGAGAAATAATTGGGTATTGCATGTCTCCTTCGAGAAGGGTAGTCAAAGAGGACATGCCTGCCTATATTTATTATTGATTTTCGGTAGATATAGCATTAGGGTGGATATTTATTATTGACTTTCGGTAGATATAGCATTAGGGTGGTCCTTAAAAAATATCAATACCTAAATATTGTATGTGGTACCCCTTAATTTTGTTTTAATTATTATTATTATTAGCTTTGCATGAAGCTCCGCCCGCCTGGTTTCGTTTAACGTTATGACTTCAAATGTAACAAGTAAAAAAGTCCAAGTGCGGGCGAAGCACAAGTATTAAATATAGTTTTTTCACCTTTCTGAAAACTACCGTTAGATGGTAAGAAGGATTTGTTTTTACCCCCGTATTTCACACATCTTCGTTAGTATGTTCAATTCAGTTGGGTAACGGCAGCGCCTACCTCCCATATAACGGTAGTTTTCAGAAATATGAAAACTGCGATATTTTATTAACTACTCAAGCTTATTCACTCGAAATGGATATTTACAAAGATCTTTAGACTCAAAATATAAATTTTATAAATTTTTAGAGGTGGCAGCCCCCTTCAAAAATATTTTTGAAATAAAACTTTAATAAGCCTTTCTCGTTTAACGATCGTATTAAAAAATTTCATTAAACTTGTTAATTTAGCTTATTTACATTTTTTTTTAGGAAAGCATGTTTTTGTTGTAATATTTTATTTGACTTATTTATGATTGAATTTAATATTTAATACAGATGGCAACGCTATTAAAACAATATCCTATATGTTAACTCGGGATATAACCAATCCGTGTTACAAACAGGGCTTCGGAGGGAAGCGGAACAAAGGAGTAGGCAGCTAAGGAGCAAAGGATTTTAGCTGGAGCTAAAAAAAATTTATTGGCTCCTTAACTCCTTAAGCAAATTTTCAATATTTTGTTTTTGTTATTTTCTGGCCTAGTAACGTTTTATTTTGAAATATTTTAATTGGTGTTCAATAATAACGGCCTCAAGCTCAATAAAAATTAAAAAAAAATGTTCAGTTAATAAATTTACTTAAATTATTATTTGTTGCCATTTAGCTTGGCAATTTTTTGATTTTTCTTTTGGATGCCGAAGTGTATACATACATCTAGAATCTAGATATTTCTGCATCAAAAAGAAAATTAAAAAAAAAAAACATCGCCTACGTTTTTGGCGGTTAGGGCTCGATATGTAAATAAATAAATAAACAATTTTTTTTTTTTATTGGGAGCGGGAGTGGAGCAAGAGCAGAGCTCGGAGCCAAATAAAATACCGGAGCGGAGCGATGAAAAAAAACTTTTGCTGCGAAGCCCTGATTACAAATGCCACTCAATTCCGCTCAGCCGTTTTTGCGTAAAAGAGCAACAAACATACTCACACACCAACTGACTCAAAACCTCTCACATTTATACTATTATTTAGGATAAATCACTGCGACCTTAAAATCCATTGTGCTATATTCATGGATTTATAATGTGCCTGTTAATCCAGTATCCTGGAGTAACTTTAGTATTGAGCTTGTATGTTTGCTTGGCAACTAACATCTTTTTGTTTTGCCGAACTCCAACGTTTTACAATTTCTTTAAACATATCGTACCTTGGCTGCAAGGCAGTCATAATCCAAAAAAACAAAAAAAAAAAATTTTGAGTTAGGTCTGCAGAAGTCACCGCCTTCTCTTTTTCTATGTTGTGTTAAAATTGCACAGCTTTATCGATTAAGAACTTTTGTAGGTGCGAGATTTTGAAAAAAGGCTTTTTAAAAAGCTTTAAAACATACCTGTTTGTCCAGCAGCACATTACTACTACATTGTAGAAATTCTTCTGGTCCAATCTGCTTCGCCAGTTTCTTTTCCAGTCGGCAAAGTATTTGTGCATATTGTGACGCAGTCGGGCAGTCTAATTTGCTGAGTTCGGACTGAAAGTAGTGTAGAGAAATATATGATAAATTTGAATATTTATATCAGAAAATAAATTTTGTTTGGAGCACCCTTTATTTTGATCTACGTCCGTACAAAATTAAGACATCCACGCAAATTTCAAAATTGAAAGCAAATATTTAATTTTTTTTTTTAAATCGCCGAAACTCTTACTTTAAGTCTCAAAAATTTGACACATTATAAAAATTTATTCATTTAGATTCATAAACTCGCAGACTACAGAAAATTAAAATCGGAATTTTGTTGAATTTTTTGCATTTAGAAAATAATAATTTCTTCAAAACTTGTTAGTGATCACTAAATTTTTTTTTTAATTTTGAAATTTCCGTGGATGCCTTTATCTTGCACGTAGAATAAGAAAAGGGGTGCTCCATAATGTTAATTCTTTAAGGACGACCCTAACGCATGTATGTTTTAAGCTTAAGTTCAAGATTTAAAAACCCTTAACCACTCAATCTCTGAAAAAAGGAAGCTTTTAAATCTTTTTACTGAATTAGGTTTGTTAAAAAAAACTTGATTGTGGAAAAGAACTTCTGTTGTCCCAACTTGGTTATTTTATCGCTGTATGTCAAGTCAAAGATATTAAAGAAAAAAATTAAATTGAAATTATAGAAAATCACCACGTACATATGCATATGGCATTGCAACGTTCGAATTTGTGTCAACATTCGATTTACGTATTCTAATTTATTAAATTCTACATTCGAGCTACAAACTCTAAGACAGATCTCATTAGCAGTATGTGCAAGTATTTAATTTTAACATTCGTGGCTTTGTTCTTGATTCATGTGCAAACAAACTCCATTGCAGTTACCTTGGAATTAAATTGACACATTTGCACATACATACATACATACTTATATATAAATAAATTTTCGACCCTGTAGGTAAAATACATAAGTGTACGTTGTAGGGTTAAAAATCAACAACAACGATACACCCAAAATCAATCAGGCAGGTATGCATTTCACTTCCAATTGAATTCCAATTAAAATCACTTTGAATTCAAGTTGAATGGAGTTGAAATTCACTCCGATAGCGAATTGCAGAGCCTGACAGAATATGCGTTTTTTTTTCGAAAATAAACATTCATTCTGAAATTACGCAGGGAGGTCTCGGCTCGATTATTTTTATCCCATTTACGATTTAAGTGTATCTTTGTCTGGTGTTTCATCAATCGATTAATTATAAAATAATCGTAAAAATATTTTCTAGCAATATGAATTTTGTAGCTGTCTAAAATTTCAAACAGCCGTAAGAATTTCTAAAAGTCCAGAGCATACAATGGGGTAAATTGTTGTGCATGCAAGCCCATTGTAACGGATACAAAACTAACGTTCACTGTCTGGTTAACACAAATCGGAGGTAGAAGCTCCGGTTAAATATAGCAACTACTTTATCGATCACATGTTATAGGAACAGAGTCAGAATTTTTTTTGGAAAAATGTGTTTGTGAATACTCACTGGTAAAAAAGTGCCTTTCAAAATTCGATTAATCGAAAATTTCTCAATGATTGCAATAAATTTTTTTCTATTTGGCTTGCGATTAATTAATCGATTATTTTATTGTTTTTGCCATTGCTAATGTTCGGTTTCTCTTTGTGCCAATTTATATTCGCATCTATGCCTTTTTACTAATCGAACTCACAATTTGTCAACATTTGATGTCAATCCCTTCCTGCTTGCCTATAGGCTAAATTTCACTGAAATGAGTATACATAAGTACATATATACTTAAGTATGTGTGTAAACTTTCAATAGTTATTTACTTAAATTTGAACACAATGAGTTTTAATCAGGACAACACCGTAATAATGTTTCAAAGCATTTCTAATTAGTAAGACATAATAATCAATGGCAGAATAAACATACATATACACTTATGTAACAATAGGGCTAGATAATTAATGACTTAAGAGTAACTATGAAAGACAAATATGTATTTCCTAAGAATTGCTTAATTAATTGTTAATTTTAATGATTTATTTTCCCACAAAAATCAAATCCAATATCTTGCGAAATATACGCACGTACACATATAAAAACAAGTTGTGCCGTTATTCGTGTTGAAAACTTAATTTTTGGCGATTTTAACCGACATAACAATATCTCGAGAATGGGGTTTACATTAATACCAACTATATATTTGAGTACACAGTGAGTTACCTTAATATCGATGGCTGAGTGGAAGATCGACCTATCTCGGCAGCCAGTTCGAAAACGATCTATCTCAGAAAATGTTTCAAGAACGCCCTACTTCAGAATTTTATAGAAAATCGCCCTATCTCAAAATTTGGCTGAAGAATTCCCTATCTCAGCTGCCGATTCAAAAACGCCCTATCTTAGCTTATTTTCAATGTATTTTCGTTTGAGATAGGACGTTTTCGAAGCGAATTCTTAGATAGGGCGTTTTTCAATCAAATTACACGTGTATTTTACGAATAGTTTAAAGTTCTTAAAAACTTAAGTAATGAATTGACGTCTAAGCGAATTATCCAAAACTCGCACTCCACCTGAAAGCTTTAATTACCTAGTCTTTGGACATTTTTTACTGTAGGGACAATTACGGTACTTTCGGATATCGTTTTTGGAATAGAAATAACGAAACATGAGAAAAAGCACGTTCAAAGGCATATTGAGAACGATTTTGCTTCTGCCTTGAAAGGGTTAATGATGTATTAAATATACTGTTTTCTAATGGAAAGAAAAAAATGACATTTTGAACGGTATTTTGAGGGTTGAGATATTGTTGTTGTAACTTCTCTATAATTTTCATATATTATATTTATGATCATTTATTTTCACGTTAAAAAATGTCCATGCAATTATCTCTTTTCTAACAGAAGATCAAAGATTTTGAAAAAAATCGTGTTTTGCCCATAGTGTGTCGTATCCTGAGATGTGACTCTGGCCTCGGCATGAGTGCTGTACGTATAATTAATCGCGGTCTATTCATGGTCACTTTTGGGTCTGCTATTTGTAATGAGACAGGGTACCATGACATAACACCAAGTGGCATAATTCCAATTTTAAAATTTGGAATTATGTCACTCCTTATAGAGTGCCATTCTTTTCCGGCAACACACTGTCGCACTGTTTCGACATAATAACTGCAGGTAGGACCCGGCGAGCTATGAGCTTCCAGCTAAGAAGGGATGTGGACATCCTTGACGGGGCAGACCTTGTACGGTGACTTGAAAAGGGGCTACATTGAGTAAAAACGGTTGATGAAGGACATTATCCTACTGCCCCAATGGTAATGCCACATACATGCTCATGAAGAGTGTAGCATTTATGGGAGAGAATCCGGGCTTCGGTCACTTCCGTAGTACCCTCTCCATGCGTTGAACATCGACCAACTTGGCCGACTTTGCACGTGAAGGGTAAACAGTGCATCGGTGGCCACCAGCCCAAATGGCAGTAGCTACGAGGCCGGCCCGGAAACTTAATTCTTGTGCCACGGTTACCAAGAGCCCTCCGAGTTTACTCTGGCCTGTTCCTGGATGATACCTTTGGGGAAGTATCGCGGAGGTTCTCATTTGAACTCAAATGCTGGTAGAGCTTGACCCTGTGTCAAGCTGTACCTCCTGATGAACAGACGCTGCAGGCTTCAATGCACCCTGAAACCGAGGACGGAGTAGTCTTACTTAAGCTCCCTCTTTTTGGCCGATATTGTTGTTATTGTAAGGGTTTACAAATTGCCCAAAGAGTTTTTAATAAATAAGCTGGAGTGACATACTTCTAGTTACATACATATATACTATACACATAATATAAATTACCTTCTCATTTGTGCTTTGACAAGCGCGTAGATCTTCTTCATGTCTCTCCAAATCAGTCAATTGTTTCAACAAGGCACTGAGTATTTCGGAAACTACACCTTCTAGATTTGTATTGGAACATCTGAAATACAAATGAAACATAGTGTTTGTTATTTACAGGTATTTACATACTTCTTCGGTTATTTCAAGTAGACCTTTCGTACACTCTGATATTTTGAATTAATTTTTTTAAGTGAGTTTCAGCATAATTCGAGGAGTAAAATGGTTAGAATTTTATTGGTCTTTGGAGACAGGAATTACACGGTGCAATAAAAACAAGAACATTTTTCAGTGACCGAGAATACAAGGTCGAGTAATTTAAAAAATTGTTTTTTAAAATCTTTAAACAGAAATTTGCACGAAAAAATAATTATTCAGAATTAAGAGTATTTGGTTTAGTTAATTGATGAGGAATTTAAAACTCAAGACATGGATACAAAAACAAAAATATTTATTGGGGTTAAAAAATAAATACTTCAGAAAAATGTAGGAGATACTTATGAAACTTTCGACAATTTGTTGTTTTCTTTTTCTATTCCTAAGTTTTATAAGAAAATTTTATTTTATTAGTCAAGTCTTGAAAAAAAAAATTGTTGAAATTACTATCTATATTACCACATATATTACTTAGAAGGAGTCACAATCAACTTTTTCTACATAAAAAGAAGGTAAACATGATTCGGTCTACAGCCGTTATTTACTTGATTTACCAGCCGAACTCCATGCTTCCGCAAGCAGCTAATTTGCATAACCGAAATTATGACTAGAATACTAGGGTGGTCCTTAAAACTTCAACATCAAGGTATTTTACGCACAAAATAAATTTGTTTTTGGCCAGTTTTAACTCAGCATATTGAAAATTATTTAAATACATTCATAAACTCGCTGAGTTATAGCTGGCAAAAGCAAACATTTTTTCGAATCCTGGTAGCGACCCCTAATGCTTATTTTTAAGTTGTTATATTTTCGTGGTTGTCTTTATTATGTACGTAGAACAAAATAAAGGGATGCCCCATATCGTTGATGTTTTAGGGACCACCCTAACCTCTACTTAGTAAACACTGCCGTGTTTTAGGAAGCTAAATTTGAGGTCGGTATAGGTTCCTTATAAAACACGCCTCTACCTGCGTTTTCATCTAGCAACGAGCCCTCCGCGAATAAGTTCACATAGACTTGGTTACAGAGACTTTGTCCTCCTTGCTTAGTGTTATTTAGGTTATGAAGGATTGATTCGAACCCAGAATCAAAGTATAGTGATCAGTTTCGGCCGGAAGGCACTCGGAAGGTTTTCGAATTCCGGTGTCCTCATACCCCACTCTGCTGCTACAATTCTGTTGCAGATAAACCTGACAAGGTCGTTTAATTTATTTAAGCATCGCCTCAGCCAGTACACTGTAGAAAGATCAAGCGATTGATTAATGCTTTTATATGCAGATCAGCCTTTAAAGCATTTTGTAAAAGAAAAGGGGAGAGGGTGACTGGTCTACAATCCTTACATGAGGCCTTAACCACCTTGAGTGCTAAGGTAAGTATGACCACTTGAGTGGTCCAAAAATACATGTGAAAAAGAAAAAGATTATACCCCTTTTTTGAAATTAAAAAAAGTTACTGAGTACTCTGAGCGCTCAGAGTTTTCCATGTAACTTATATGGGGGAAAAACAACTTTTCGTAGAAATAGTGTAGAATTCAGGAAAATCAATATTTTTCGATTGAAAAACTCTGTTACTATTCAGGAGATTCCCAATAATATTACTCAATTATTTCTTTAACCATTTTTTCGTGGTAACTATATTTTATAGGTCCCCAGAAAATGCAATGGGGGGACCAATAAAAAATCTTTAGTATTAAAAAATGGTTAAATAAACAATTTAGTATTAATACTGGAAGTTTCCTAAAGAGAACCACAGTTTTCCGATCGAAAAATATTGATTTTCAAGAATTGTATACGATTTCCACGGAAAAGTTGTTTTTCTCCCCATATAAAATATATAAAATATGTAGAAAGCTTTGAGCGTTTTGAGCACTCCCTAAATATTTTTCGATTTAAAAAAAAAAATAAAAAATGGGGGTATATTTTTTCGGTATAGGACAATCCCAGGGGGTGGTGGCATTAAAATTCCGACTTTACTTTTTTGAACCAATCTAATGACCACTCTCCAAGTTATTGGAATAGAGCTAATAAACTAGCATAATATGGATAATCCAGCGGCACAACATCTCCATAGACTTCTGCATTTGGACTGGTTTCTTGCCTCGATTCCCGGAGCGTTGAAGGGTTTGAAAGAATTGTTAGCCCAAAGTTACATTGCCCGCGACTTCCATGCGGACGTTGCCCAGTTCGGGAGGGTAGCTGGATAACCAGAGAATGATGACCTAAGTAGGAGGCTCATCTACTCCTCTTGGCTTTATTAAGAGGTCGTCTCCTCGAAGTCCTGGAATTCTTCAATACATATACGAAAATTTATTTCTTTGCAAATATTCCCTCGTCAATAAATATTCGCTATACATATACATATAGGGCGGAGTAATTTAATTTCGAAAAAAGTGTATGGCATATTCGAGTTCTATGTTCGATTCTAAGCAATAATGGTGAACAAACTATATACCAAAAATGATATTTGACCCTCCCAATATTTAAAAGAAAAATCAGTACATTATATAATTTTTTTTAGTTCTATGGTACAATGAAAATTAAACTAAAAAATAAAATAAAATTAAAATAAAAAATAAGTAGATTAAGTTATAAAAAAATGTATGTTTGTTTTACACCTACCTGGCAACGATATGTTTAACATGGCCCATCATTCGCTCATCGCGATAGTCATAGGGAAACTTGTGCGTCCATTCGGCCAATAATGCGACTAATGATTCTAACGATTCGCTATCAGGTACCGAGGATAATAGTTTGCCAAGCAGCTCATGAGGTCGTAAAAATAAACGCGACGATAATAAAAATGAGAAAATAAATTCCTGCAATTAGACAGAAGCAGAAAAAAAACAAGATAAGTACATACATACACATAAGAAGATTAATAATAAAGTGAAACAAGCAACAATAGGGACAAGTGTTGGTAACTATTTATTTAATTGTAATGAGATACACAAATAACAGAAGCATGGCCTCAAATGAGTGCCAGCCAGGTCAAGTTGGCGCATATCCATTGCGGTTTAGTATTTGTTTGTATGCATTTTTATGTGTGTGTGTATGTGTGTGTGTGGTATAATGCGGTCAGTTGTTAGCCGGCAGGCTGTGCAATTACAAGTGGAAATGCTTAAATGGCTTAAAGCGTTAAATAGTCTTAATTTATTTGTTCCGTCGGCACAATGTGTTCTCCAAGTCCAGCCATCTTGCCACGCCTGTGCTTGGCATTGGCAGCAACCGCACTTGGCGGCGTTGCTGTTTTCTTCATTTGTGTTTTTTGCGTCTGCTCTGGCTTGGCAGAGCGAATGTTAATCCAAGCAGATTTGTTTGCAAGGAGAAATTAATTATTTCAACACGCTGTGCTCGACGGCTGCGTGCGTCACATTTTCGCTGAAAGTGGCTAATATTTTATTCTTTTTATATATATGTACCTACATATATGTATACATACATACAAACATACATACATACGTTGGGGCTTATTCAAACAACGTGCCAAAAATGCTTTCAGTCTTGCTGCCAATTATCGTTTTTGCATGCGGCTTTGTTCAGACATACATACATACATACATACATCGATTTCATAGTACAATATGTATGTGTGAATTATTTTTAGAATCCGTGGTTGTACGCGATAATACTTGTAAGTCTTGAAATCGACTATTTGGCAACTCCCGTAGGTTAGCCGAAAGTGGTAGATACAAAATTTAGGCCCGAAAAGTAGTATATATTTTTTGTTTTAGAAAATTGAAAAAATCGAAGTAAAAATATTCTCATTCAAATATTTTGTATGAAAAGGGACCCACACCATAACTTAAGTTAAGTTAAGTGGAAGTACTTCCACGGACATAACTTCCATGAATCCCGACTCCGAATTCAAATCGACTACATAGCTGCGCTTAAAACTTTAATTTTGCTACGAATCTTAAACAGATTTTAAAAATTCAAAATGTCGCATCCATATTGGATCACGGAAAAGTTAGAATCGAACGTACGTGCATGGCGTAGGAGTTACTCACACGAGTTGAGAATGTTACTCATACTCAGTATGCTCCCGCCATTTAGAATTTTTGAAATCTGATTTCACATTCTCATACCCAGCGCCTTCAAGCAACACCGATTGCAAGGGTTTAAATGAACCGAACCGATTAAAATTTTTTTGATTTTTGTAAATTTGTGTTTTATAGTGTTGTGTTTTCCAGAGGCACAAAAGTTGTAAAGCAAAATCTTAACTACAGTTGGTTCGGAAGCCACCATCTTCAGGTCTTAAAAAGGTTACGAATTGTTGAAATCCAACTAAAAATGGAGAAAAGGGGTGGTCTACTTGGCAAAGAATGTCCCATATATTTTTTTAATTTAAATTTTAGATACTTGTTTATTTTTTTTTTGTTTTATTATAAGATTTTATTGTTTTAAAAAGAAAAATATTTTTTTAATCATTTAATTTTTTATAGACATGAAATATATTATTTAAATTAATTTTTTTCCGAAAGGGTGGTAAGGTGATTTATTTTGGAACGAATTTTCGTCATCTCTTGTCAAGCTTGGTTTGCAGATAAACCGGTTTCGGCGTTGTGCCATTTTCAGACATAAAATATATTTTTTAAATTAATTTTTTTTCTTTTTTAATCTAATTTTCTTTTAATGTTTAGATCTTATTATTTAAAAAAAATGCTTTTTTAACTTCAATTAATTTTAGTAAATTTCTGATTTTTTTCTGTTTTATAATACAAATTTTTAATCGGCTTCACAAAAAGGAGAAGGTTATCAATTCGTTGGAATATATAATTTTTATTTTTATTTTTTTTATGTATATTACCGCATAACTATGGATTACGTTAACCGATTTCGATAATTCTTTTTTCACCGGAAAGGCGGTAGATCCGATAATTGGATCGTGGAGAAATCTACTATAATTTTAAATTTTTTTATGAGAATTGAAGTCCTTTTTTTTGTTGTTTAAAAATTACTTGTTCTTTTTTAAGTAAATTTTCTTTTAATTTTTAGATTGTTAGCATTATTTTATACAGACAAATATTTGTTTATTTTCATTAAGATAATTTTTAGCAACTTATTTTCTTAATCCTTGTATAGATAAAATAACTTTGCGAATGTAAATAACATTTTCATTTGCACGTTTGCAAATGCGGAATTTCTCATATATCATATTTTTTATTTTCTGACACGTAATTTTTTTTTTATTTTAATGAATTGAATATTATTTATTTATTATTAGTATTATTTTATTATTATCTATATATATAATACGTGAAGGCATTTTTTGTGCAGCATAAAAGATCTGCACCGTTCGTCCGATTTTCAAAAATGGGGTGTCAAATTAAAGGGCTTAGAGTGTGGATGTTCAAGAAGGTTTTACTTTTTCGAAAAATGTTGCCACCTGTTTAGAAATTAATTTCAAATTAATTAAAAAGTTAGATCAATTATTAAATATGGGTATCAATCGAAATGGTTTTGAAAAGGCTTTAAAACTTAACTACGTATAGGAGGGTTGGCACGTGTTAAAAAAAATATAATTCAATTTTAATTAAAGGAATTTGGTAAGTGAATAAGGTATCGCTATATGGGTGTCATACAAAAGAGGTTTAAGAAAATAGTAGTTTGGAAATATATTCAATAGGGTTGTCACCTATTTGAGAAGTCTGATTGAACTATTTTACACTCAAATTATATGAAATATTAACGATGGATGTCAAATGAAAGAGCTTCAAGAAATACTTATTTTGACAATTTAGAAAATTTTTTATGTATGCTGCCACGTGTTTACCCGGTTGGGCACACAAGAGTTAATTTATTTATTTTTTCCTTTTTAATTAAATTTCCGTTTGGTTTTTATTTGAGAAAGATTTTTTTTTTTATTTCATTTAAGTTTAAGAAAATTGCATTAATGTGTTATTTTTAAATACGTTTTTTTTAAATTTAATTTCCCTTTGTATTGAAGTATTATAGTTTTAAAAAAGATATATATTTTTTATACAATTTTGAGCAGACTTATCGCTAAAAGGCAATCAAATTCTTTTTCTTTTCTTAATTATTTCTTCTTTTAGTTAAATTTCCTTTTAATTTATGGATCAATATTAGTATTTAAAAATAATATTTTTTTATTTTCATTTAATTTTTAGGAACTTATTTTTTCCTTTTCTTAATTTATTTATTTTCTTTTCTAATTAAATTTTCGTTTAGTTTGTATTGTTTTTGTTAAAATTTTTTTTTTGACATTTTTCATTATTTGAATTTTTAGGAACTTATTTAATTTTTTTTTATGTTATTATTTGTTCTTTTTTATTAAATTTTCTTTTAATTTTTAGTTCTTATTGTTTATAAATACAACATACTTATATATTTTTTAAATTTAATTTAATTTTTAGAAAACTAATTGCTAAAAGAATAACGAAAAGATCCTCTCGCTTGCAGATCTTTCAATTAAACTTTGAAAAGATAGAAAAGTGCTTTCAAAATAGTTGCCCGAAGTAGCAATTGTTTATGAAAAACTTTTGCCTTTCGAAAGTCTGTGGTGAGTTGAAAGACAGTTGCCAGAATTGCTCTGTTATTCTCACCATTTCATTTAGTTTGCACCAATTTGAGTG